CGAGATTCAGACAGATTTTTCTTTGGCTAAATGATTTGAAATGAAAAAAAAAGTTATCAACTACAGAGTTATATAACTTTTTGAGATCTAAAACTTTGGTTTTCGTCGTTTCTCCATCCAAGGTCGTTCAAAAACTTTGAATTTCAATATGTGAGGACTCAAACCCAAACTGAATTTTGAGACCATAGACTATTTTAAATAAAAAAGTTCTCAGCTGCAATGTTTTAGATCTTTTCGAGACTGTAACTTCGGTTGCGGTTATTTCTCCATCTGAGGTCATTTTGAAAAAGTTCAAAAAATTTGAATTTTAAAATGTGAGGACTTAAAACATAACTTGCGGTATTTAAATGATTTCAAATAAAAAAGTTGTCAACTACAAAGTTGTAGATCTCTTCGTCATTTATAACTTTGATATATAGTTTGTCTTCATATGAGTCATTTTGAAAAAAATATGAATTTTACTGTGATACACCTATTTTTAGAGACAGTTGTAAATCCAACTACCTCTATATATAGGAGCATTTTTAGTGACGGCTGTAAGAGGCAGGACTAAAAACCATCTTTAGAGACGGATTTCGATAGAGTCACCTCTTCTAAAAAATGCCTCCTTTGCTAAAATTATTGGTGTTGTAGTGAAGTTAACTAGAAAATGAATGTACGCAAATATACAAACTACTATATGTTTGATGAAACTCCCATACCTCATCAATTATGAAATCATAATTAACAAAGAGATCACCAAAAATAGAAGTGCAACCCAATGCCATGTAATTATATTTTGATGTCTTTTAACCTATACGCAACCAGACAAGTAGAAACAGAGAATGATTATTTTCTCAAAAATAATGACATATGGGACACTGTTTATTTTAATGCCTTTGAAGTTTTTTGTACGTCCACGTATTATGATTCGGCTAAAAAAGTTTTCGCTGCTTTTGCAGCCAATTTATTCATTGCCGCACTGCATGTGCTCTCAATAATGAAATATGTAACGTATCAAATACCGACAATGTTTTCCTAAAAAATAAAAGGGTGAATAATGACCATCCAGTCTATATCTTGGAACATGAACTTGTTGTCTTACTTTCTCGACTTCAGGATAACCCTTATCTCCTGTCAGTATCTCTATGATGATAATACCAAGACTATAAATGTCTGACTTGAATGAGATTTTTCTATTGTAGAATAATTCTGGTGCGAGATATCCCCTGTATAAACAGAAAAAAGGGAATGCAATTAATTTAGGTGCGATCAGAAAGATTGAACTCCCAAGAGTCTTATTAGTTAGCTTACATTGTTCCTATGAGTTTTGAGGTGACAACATGGGTTTGCAATTCACCAAAGCATCTTGAGATACCAAAGTCTGTAATTTTCGGCACCATATCATTGTCTAGCAGTATGTTCGCTGGTTTCAGATCTAGATGAACAATTCGTTCCTTGTGAAGATAATGTAAACCCTCGCAAACTCCCTTTATTATTTTATAACACTTTCCCCATTCACGAGATGCATCTGTAAAAGGAAGTCAAAACAATGGGTTACTGTCCTTGATTCTTAAATGCATGCCAAAAGGATGCTCGAACCAAACAATCTTAAGTAATAAATATAAAGATAATGAGGAAAGAAAAGTTACAGGTCATATGATCGTACCATTGATGTATTTATCAAGACTTCCATTAGGTACATACTCAAAGCAAAGCAACCTTTGGCGTACAACATCTGCCATGACAAACTTTCCATTGTGCGGTACCCTTCCTCCTTGTGTGTTAGAGCAATATCCAAGAAACCGTACTATATTTTTGTGCTTCGCCTTCATCATACAGTCAACTTCTCCATTGAATTTCTCCTCATCAATACAATTTTGAGACAGTTTCTTCACAGCAACCTCCCCGTACTCAAGCCGTCCCTGCAGTAGCAACATACCTTTGTCAGCATTAACTTGATTTTGCTGAGGAGCTGTGACTAAGACACTCGGCAAACTGAGAGTCTGCACCTTGTAGACCACAGCAAACCCACCGTATCCAATTTTGTGTTCATCAGAGAAATTATTTGTGATGCATTTCAAAAGTGACAATGATAGGGGCTTTGCCTCCATGCTTTCATCAAGAAGAATGCGCTCCAGGTCAATTTTTGTAGTAATAGCTTGGCCATCCATTTACAGTTACTACACTTGAAATTAAACAAGAGCAAGTGCATTATTTATGAGGTCACTGGCTCAACTCCACAATGACATAAGTACAATTCAAAGACATATCTACATATCAGGGATTACTCTTCTATTTCACAAGCATACAAACTTTGACCCCATAGTTGGACATCAATCGATGGGCAAGACTGTGAAACAAGAGTTCATAATAAACTGCACACTTACTACGAAGCAGATTGATCAAGCATATCCATTCTAACTCCACACTGATGTTGTTGCTCAATGTTCACACCAACTATAGACCTCCACATATATTTCACAGTATATTTCTTCTTGGATAAACAGATAGTGGATAGAATTCTGGCTTCAACCTCTTTCAATATGAGGCATCAGTTCAAAGTTATTAAAAAAGTAGCCAAAGCTACCACAATCCATTAAGTGCATAGAAACAAACACATTGGATAAATGTACAAACCTAATGACTTCTATTTTGAAAGATGCAGAACGTAGATACTACTGTTCCAGCATATATATTAACAATAATAATAGAATGGCCCGCTTTATGAGGAAATCGGGCCCGAAAATCATACAACCACTATCTACAAACTACACCATGCAACACTACTTACGACTAACAGCATGTGACAGAGCCCGACGCATCATCGTTGCCAATCTTGCCGCAAACGATACAGTAGCTTTGACTTTACATCGATGGAACCCAGGCAGTGGCAGACCCAGCCCGAGAATTGAGGTAGGGCGAACTTAGACTGCAATCTCTTACAGGCCACATTGTTGCTATACAGGGTAGGATTTACTCACAGGCAATTCAAGAAGCACCTAGAGAGCACCATGGACATCACATCACCAGCCAAGTACGGGGAGAAGCTAATTAGCTAAAGGACGACGAACCTCTCTAGAAGGGCCACACAAAGGCAGAAGAATGGGGCGTGGCCTGAACGCCGGACTTGCTGAGCTTGTGACGACATGCTCCTCGGGGTCCTCCCTCCCAACTTAACAACGAAGACACGTGCACACGGTGACAGACTGACGATGGCATGGCAGTGGGACCAAACAGAGCCGATCAAGGGAGGCGAAGTGTGGTGGCGTGGAAGCGGACGAGGAAGACATCACCCGGGACCGGTAGGGCAGGACTGGGAGGCTGAGGGGGCCGGCGAAACACCGAGGCGCCGAGCCTGCAAGGAAAAAAATTGCAAAAATAACACTCCAAAGATTAATTGGGACATTGGCCCACGGCGGAGTGGAGATAGACCAGTCTGCCCCAGCACAAGAACTCAAGAATCCCCTACGTCGCTACGGCTCTCCCTCTCCGCTCAGGGCTCGACTGCATCTTCAAGCTCCGTCCTCCACCTCGGGCAGTCGACGGCGGCGGGCGGCACTCAGCACTCCGGAAGCAGGGTTAGTAGGTACCGCCGGAGGGGAGGTAGGACGGCCGCCCTAGCTCGCCCTATGTGTCGGTCCGCCTACCCAGCCATATTTAGCAATGAGCTGAGACAAAGCCTCGTAAAGGCACCAAGCTACCACCAAGTCCAAAAACGCTAAAAACGCTAGAGAAGCGCCGACCATTTCTAACAACCAAACACGGCTTCAAGTCATTGTTGCTGAGCTCGCGGAAACATTTTTTATATATAAATTGAGCCAAATTTAAAGTAGTTTAGCTTAACAACAAGCAATTTGAAGGGAGTACCCAACGAGGAGAAACCGGACGGACACGGAGCTTCGCGAGCTCCAACCATGGTGAGGCCGAAATTGGGGGAAACCACTACGCGAGGGCGAGGCTACGCACTCAACTCAAGGGAGACGAGCACCAGCTCCACGAGGACGAGGTGAATTCACGCAGCCTGGCTCGATAGCATTAGGACGACGCGGTGCTTACCGAGGAGTCGGGCCGTCGGAGTAGCAGAAGACTAGAAGAGGAAAGCAGAGGTGTGGGTCGAGATTGAACACAAGCTCGGCTGCGACGTCAACGGCGTCAGCACGAACTCGATCAAAGGGGATGACCAGAGCACGCTGGCGAGTGGCGAGCGAGGCGAAGGCCGAAGGGTGGCGACTCAGGAAAAGCGTGTGGCAATAAATTAAGCACGTGGTCAAGGGATTTTTTTACCCAGCCACATGAGTGGTGATTGTCTAGTCTACAACAGATTGATAATAACTAGTATGTTTTTATGTTTCAAGAAAAGAACTTTTATGGACTGTGTGCTTTTATGCAGAGGTCGGAAGCACGTGATCTCAAGGTGGTTGTATCAGCTCTATGTAATTATCTCGAGTTCTTCTAATAAAATTCTTCATCAGGATGCATTCTCGAGGCGTCCATTTTGTTTTCTATATCCAACAATGCACGGCGTCGAAATCTTCAGCACACACGCAAGTCTCAATATATGTAGTCCAGCCTTCCACGGATGATCCATCATTCTGTCTCTCCAGCTTACTACCACCCTAGCCCACTTCGCAAATGCCGGAAGCTTAGATTCCAAAAAAAAGGAAGCTAAGAATTCTATCGCTACGATAGATAGATAGATTAGGAAGTTGTCTATTCACGGTACCGGATTAGGCATGAGCTAAGAATTCTATCGCTACGAGTATTCAGCTTGAGTTATCACTGGTCAGATTCCAGCAAAATTTCTTCAATTTCACCAGACGCACTTGTTCATGTCAAAATGGAGTCATAAATGAACCAGGTGCAAAATGCATATGTAAAATTATTTACGGGAACTATGGCGCGCCTGCCTGTACACGATTAACCATGTGATCCACATCCAGTCATTTACATGGATTGCTTGCTCCAGCATGAAGGAAACAATAGCTATTGTCATCACATTTTACAAATCCGGTAAAGAGTCAACTCATCTTCTGCTGAGATGCCTCAACGTACTGCAGCGCAAGCTTCTTCACCTTGTCACCCTCCTTGATCAAAAAGTTCGCATTTTTGGCATCACGGTGGAAGCTCATTACCTTGTCAGTTGTTTTCCCGACGGCCCACTTATATTGATCAACCGTGATCACACCGCTCTTGCAAATTGGCCTGATCTTCTGCTCTTTCACAAACATTTCAACCTACATACATGATACATTGAAAGAAAAAGAAACATGTATTAAGTGAAAATTTGGTGACAACCTACAAAAAAAAATGTTGTTGATCAAATAAGTTACCTTCTTATACGTAGAGTTTGAGGCATCTGATGTATTTTTACCGGCTCGATCAGGCGCCCGCTTCTTCGGATCATCTCCACCTTCAGCTGCATGTTTTGGTTTGTCTGCTTTTGGGTCTTTGCTGTTTACTGATGGTTTGTCACTGTGAGATTTCTCTTTAGAGGGCTCCGAATTCTTTGGTTTGTCTGCTTTTGGTCTTTGTTGTTTACTGATGGTTTGTCACTGCGAGATTTCTCTTTAGGGGGCTCCGAATTCTTTGGTTTGCTGATCACTTCACCATCTGTCGTCAAACCATCCTCGCAAGATTGATTAGGCGAAGTGCTCGCTGCTTTCTCCATCTCTCTCGAAGCCTCCGCAGGCCCAGGAACTTTATCAGGCTTGTTGCAATCAACTGAAATTTCTTTACCAGGTCCACTTGATTTTTCGCATTGCTCACTGCACCTATCGGCTTCAGTCAAGTTTGCGGCATAAGTTTTCTTTGCTGCCACTTCCTCAGTTTCTCCCTTGCCTGTCAACTTCTGTTCCTCCTCAGAATTACATTCAGGTTGCTGACTCATAGTGTCGAGGCTTTGGCAGTTTGCAGCATCAAGATCAGTAGGCAGCGATGAATTATCATCTTTCAGTGAGGATACGTCCTCAGAATTTGACTGCAAGTTTTTGTTCAGTTCCTCTAGCCTGGATTCTCCTGCATTAACCAACAGAATATCTTTCAGAATTAATATTTCCTTTGTGAAAGCGTAGGACAATTAGAAACTGCATGGAATCAGAGTTACCTTCAACCTCTGTTGTCCCTCTGTCAGGACTGTTAGGAGGGGAATCAAAGAGGCCCGCTTTTCTTAGTGCGTCTTCAGCACTGCTGAAGCTAACAGTATCCTTGTGCACAGTATGCTCTGGTGCAGTATCATCGCCTAGTTCACTCTTTTGATCGGAGACAGCTGCTCTGTTTAGAGCCTCTTCCACATCACTGCCACTAACATTGGTATCCTCAGATGTAACCTCCTGTGATATCTGATCACTACCTGATTCAGTCCTTTTGGTTAGACTTGAAGTGTCATTATCAGATTTTGCCTTGGCATGCTGGCGAGTAGCCTGAGAGCAAACATTCACATAAATTGATTTGCTATTTGACCTTTCATAAATACCCTTTTCTACATTGACAGCATCAGCAATGGCCAATTCAGTATCTGCACATCTGCGAATGTCATCCAAGTTTGCTTTCTGCAAATAATGCTCAGCAATGCGGTGAAGTTGTGCCTGAGATACAGAAGTCCGATTAATAACATAAACACTTGATTTAAAAGAAAATGCAAGCACACATACGCTTAGAGCAGTTATAGGTTGTTGTGCTGCAGGTTTTTTTAAGCTGATATTGAAAAGTACTGGTGATAAACTCATGTTTGGCAAATCAATTAACAGTTCAGTAAAATCTATCATCCAATGGTTAATCCTTCTCTATTTTCTCTCTAATATAAATAATAACTAAACCATTTTCTGTTATTTGAAAAGTAAAAATATCTAGTTCAGCAACAAGGTGTAGAAAAGGACAGCTAACCAAACATTAGAAACTATATCGAGCAGCTGTTTGACTTTGACAAAACAAGGTTATCTAGAAAGATACGGCAATGCCAAACATATAATTACCTGTCTAACTGATACCGGAACCTTTTTGTTGCTGCCAGCTGCAAGCTGCAAGCTGCGGCCTCATATCCATCGGAAGTTGTGCCTAGGAAAACCAAGTAGATGAGTATTTGTGGAGTTGTAAATGAACTTTAGAAACATATTTTAAAAAATGGCACATACTAGTAGAGGGAAGTTTCCCTTGAGAGCATCAGTGCCTCCAGTTTGATGATCTTTGCTTGTAACAGAACTGGCATTTTTTCTTGCCACAATCTCAAGAGCCCATTTTCTTTTGTCCTGCTTGATATCACCAGAAGATTGGTTTCTCTTATCCTGGGAGGGCTGGCTATTTCTATTTTCTCTTCTGCTAGATGCTTCTTTATTCAGAACTGAAGAGCTTGATGCTTTCCCAGTGCTGCTGGGTGAACTGATTTTCATTGTCTCGGTGCCTGCTGCAGTTATGTTAGAAGATTTGTTACCATTAGCTTTAATTTGGCTACTTTTATCTAAGAGATTTTTAACTTTTTGCCATCCTTATGGATGGCACTCCTTCGTTTGCCACATTTATGCGCGCCCCTACACATTTATCATCGCAAACAGTAACCCTCCTACGTTTTTGCCATTTTTGCTGAGATGGCACGCCAGATGGGCACAGAAGCGTGGCAGGGAGCCTGGGAGTCCTAACTTGGCATGCGAAATGACCACGCTGCCCTCGCCTCCTTCTTCTATCTCCAGCTGGCCTAGCCCCGAGTCAAACCCAGTCCACTCCTCCTTCTTCCCCACTCCTGGAGACGGCGACGGCGGCAGCGGCGGCATCGAGTCTCCTTCCCCTTCCTTGGATGCAGGACAACCATACTAGGTACTGCCCGCACTCCCCTAAACCCTATTTCCCCAGTTGATCCTCGTCCCCCGTGCACCCCATGGCTCGGAGGACGGAGCCCTCTTCGTCAAGGAGCATGGCGTCGTGGGCTATCGAGGAGGAAGACACCGGGAAGGAGACTGGGCTCCCGTTGATCGTGTGTCCCACATGCAAGAGAGAGAGGGGGTAATCGAGCTGATAGTGAGGACAACGAAGAACGGCAACCAGGGGCGCATGTTCTTCGAGTGTCCCAGAAATGTGCCCGGGGTAAGGGTTTTTCTTGATCCATTTTGAATTTTTCTTGGTTTTGGTTTTGGGTTTGGGTTTGGTTGAAGAACGCTAACTGTTGGGCATTTTGTAGATGGCTGCTAGATGTAGGTTCTATGAATTCTAGAAAGCGTACTTGAAGAAGCTGGTGGAGTTGAAGTTTGTTGTCATTGATCTTGAAGCTGGCCTGGGTGCAGAAGAAGTAGAAGAAGCTTGGGGATTTGGTGAAGAAGAAGCACAGTCAAAGTGTGCTGGGAAGAACAGCATGGAAGCCAAGATTGATGCCCTGATTTCTTTGCTTAAGATGTTGATTTTAGTGTTATTTGTTGTATGCATTGTTGCCATAATGTATGTGTTCAAGTGAATGATTGTTCTCAGTAGTAGGAAAATATATGCTGAACATGTTAATGCAATGGAAAAATGTATGCTGAACATTGTTGCCTATTGTATGTTGCACCAAATGGTTCTTTTATCATGACAACAACAAAAAATTCCATGACAACCAACAAGATGATGAAATTGACAGAAATTTGCATACCAAGCTAATCCATTATTAGGTTTAGCAGTTGCCATACACAACTGGTCCATACATAACAGGTCCATCCCATACATAACATGTCCATGACAGCCATACATAATTGGTCATAGGAGTTACTGTCTCCAAAATACATACAAAAGAACAACCATTCAAACAGTGGTTATGCCTTAGTTGCCAGCCTTTGTTGGTGTTGCCTTCTTCACCTTAGTAGCTAGCTGTTTCTTCCTTGGGGTCATTTTTTGGCTGGTTGCACTGCTGCAGCTTCATCTGCTGGTACTATCTCCAGTGGCACTGGTTCATCCAAGTCCAGCCTCCTGCAAGTGAATAACTAGTTAGTTGCTTGTGCATCTCACAGTACATTAGTGACTGGTTGATGTAAATGGAAGCAACAAACCTTTTGCTGCCTGGTGCTTGATCCACCTGCACTGTTGATCCTTGCACAGCTTGGCCTACAGCTCCTTCATGTGCTTGCTTAGCTGCTGCCTCCATTGTTGCTGCTGCTCTGGCCCTTGGTGTCCTTGCAGGTTCCTTTATTGCTACCTCTCCCTCCTTAATTGTTTCTTTGTCAGCAGTTTTCTTCTTCTTCCTTGTAGTCTTTGTTGTTGCTGCCTTAGTGGTGAGAGCTGATGTTTCCTCAACCTCTTTTGCTGGTTCATCCTCACTAGGTTTCTGCTTCTTCCTTTTAGACTTAGTGGTTGTCTTCTTGGTCCTCTTCCTATACATGATGTGTTAGTAACTTAGATAGGTTAGTGTAACAATAACTGATGAAATTGCAAAAGAAATATACCTTTTTTGGTGCCTGTTAGTGGACACCTCCAGCTGGTGGCTCTATGGCCAAGCTCACCACAACTCTTACATGTCACTTGCCTTGTTGCTTTCCCTGTCCTCTCTGAAAGGATCAAGATGCCCAAGAGGGGGAGGGGGGTGAATTGGGCTAATTCTAAATTTCTTTACAATAATTAAACCCTACGGTTAGCCCAATTAACCCATTGTGCCTAGAAAGTGTTTCTAATGTTCTAACGTACAAAAAGTCTTGCAACCTAAGTTTCAATCCTACTCTAGCATGGCAATTCTATGAATGTAAAGACAAAATTTGAATTGCTCAAAGTAAATGCACAAAGTAAAGAGAGAAGGAGGAATGCGGCGATGTTTTGCCGAGGTATCGGAGAGTCGCCACTCCCCACTAGTCCTCGTTGGAGCACCCGCACAAGGGTGTAGCTCCTCCTTGATCCGCGCAAGGATCAAGTGCTCTCTACGGGTTGATTATTCGACACTCCGTCGCGGTGAATCACCCACAACCGCTCACAACTTGAGTTGGGTCATCCACAAGCTCTCTGGATGATCACCAAGCTCCCAATCACCATCAAGCCGTCTAGGTGATGGCGATCATCAAGAATAACAAGCACAAACTCTCACTTGACCACGACAAGCCTAATGAGAAGGGTGGATGCACACTTTGCTACTCTTGCTTTCACTAATGAGGACTCTCTTTGGGATTCTCAAATCTCAATCACCTCACTAGGACCTTGCTCTTCTTGGCACTCTCAAAGGTGTTTCTCAGCTGTTGGAATGAGCAAAAGTACCCCCACACACGAATGGAAGAAGTATTTATAACACCGGCTGAAAAACGAACCGTTATGTGCCTCTGTGGGGTGATCGGACGCTCCGGTCAGTTCTCCCCGATATCCAGTGTTTAAGTTGTGACCGGACGCTGGCCAGCGTCCGGTCATGATTTTCCCTCTCTGGAACCTTACTGGAGTCGACCGGACGCTAGCCCTCAGCGTTCGGTCACTTCACCTCTCAGCGTCCGGTCGCACCAGACGAAATCACCTTGGTCAAATGAACTGACCGTACTCTACGCCAGCGTCCGGTCGATATTTGACCCTCCATTCACTTCCAACTCTCGATCATACGTGAATGAAGTTTGCTTCATTGGATCTAAGGGCTTTTTTGGAGCTACCTAGTGCTAGATTTAGCAAGTGTGCACCACACCTAACTCACTAGACTCACCTAGGTCAAGCTACCCGTCCGTACCCCCCTTAATAGTACGGCCAAAGGAAAAACAAAGTCCTAAACTACTCCAAGTGTCTCTTCGACACTTAGAACTAGTCCATCCTTTGAAAACCAAAACGATTTCCATCATAGGGGCATGACCACCATGATTGTCCAATCGATCTCCATTATCATTGAAGGTGACCGCGACGCCTAAGAGGGGGGGGGGTGAGTTAGGCAACTTAAAATTCTAACTCTAAACTATGGCCTCTTTTTCTAACCTTAGCAAAACCTATGCAAAAGATAAACTATCTAAATGTGCAACTACGATTTTGCTAGTGTGTTGCTATCTCTACCGCAAAAGGAGTAAAGTAAACAATGTAAATGCGGAAGCTAAAGAGCAAGGTAGAGATATGCAAACTCCCGTCGACGACTCCGGTATTTTTACCGAGGTATCGAGAAGCGTGCAAGCTTCCCCCTAGTCCTCGTTGGAGCCCCTCGCAAGGGCCAAGCTCCCAGTCGAGTAAATCTGTGGATAGCCTCGGGCCTTCCCCACGCGTAAGTGGGTCTCCGACGTGCCTTCCGGCAAGCCTCTCTCGGATGCTCCCCGCCGTCATCACTATCAAGTTTCCGGCCAAAACACTGCGGGCCTTGTTTCCTCTGGTACATGGTGGCGGCCACACCACAAACGTGGTTGGTGTGATCTCGCAAGACTACAAGCCCCTCCGATGTACAACAATGGTGCGTGCAAGCACCGAGTGATAAGAGGTATGCAAACCTCACTAAACACTAGGCCTAAACCTAGAGCAAGCGCATAAGCGGTGGTCTAATCAATCTAAGCACTTCGCAAAGCACCTACGCTAATCACCTAATAAAACACTAAGCACTATGCAAGTGGAGATCACTAAAATGGTATATCAACACCCTAAATATGTTTCCTCAGCTCCACTCTTGCCAAATGGCCGGTTGGGGTCTATTTATAAGCCCCACTGAGAAAGTAGCCATTTGGGATGAAATCCTACTTTTCTGCTACTGACCGGACACTGATCACGTCTTGACTGAACGCGTCCGGTCGTCCCGACCGTTGAAGCCGCGAACACTAATCGGACGCTGCCAGCGTCCGGTCACCTGCCACCGGATGCGTCCAGTCATAGTTTCACCGCTCTAGAACCACTCTATACTCGATCGGACGCTGCTGCCCTATGTCCGGTCAGTTTTGCCACCAGTGTCTGGTCCAGCGTCCGATCGCTGTTGCTGACGCCAGTTTGCCGAGCCTCTTGATCGGAGTGTCCGGTTGCTTTCCTCCATCGTTCGGTCACCTCTGTGAGCTCGTTTCTTCACGATCTTGCGTACGGCTTGGTTCCTATCTTCGTGCTTGGACTTTGCTTGATATCTTGGGTCTTCTCTTGTGCTCCTAAGGTCTTGCTTACGGTGTTGATCATCGGATCATCACGTTGCCTTCGTCCAAGTCACGTCTTTCACCCTATTGGACTACAAAACAATCACTTACAAATTTATTAGTGCAATTTGGTTGTGTTCGTCATCAAACACCAAAATCCAAAGTAAATGGGCCAAGGGTCCATTTTTCTTACAATCTCCCCCTTTTTGGTGATTAATGACAACAAGACCAAAGCAAGCAAATAATAAAAATTTTGAATTTAAAAACTATCTACTTGCTAGGATGCAATGCAAGGGGCAAGGTTATATGATGCTAAAAGATACTACTTGTAAGACTAAAAGATACTATATAAAAACTTATCTTGCCCTTGCAAAATGTCCCCATGTGGCATTATGGATTTAAGCCTTGCTTCCTACAAATTATCCTCATTACATAGACTAATCCATAATCCACTATCCTCCCTTTCTCGGACCATTACCACTTGTAGACCATTACCACTTATAAATTATTATGATCTAGCTTTTGGTCCTGCAAATTAATGCTTGCTTTTGGTCCTCTAAATTCTCCCCCTTTGAAATCAAACACCGAAAAGGAAGACATTAGTAGCATAAGGGAGGGTCAAACTTTGTGATCCTTTGTATGTAGAGTGAAATAGGTCACAAAATTTGACTCTCACATTATATAGACTAAGCTCCCCCTAAATATATGCATACATATGGTAGAAGGCAAAGCATATGTATAATTGGCAAATTATTGCTCAAGGGAATTTAATCTATATAATGCATGGAGAAAGCATTTAAATATCAAAATAAAATCAACATGATGATATCAGTTTAGAAATACCACATGTGGAAGCCAATTTGATTTCTACCACTTGTAATATGTGGTGTATACTTAAAGTATGATGCTTAACTCCGGGGACTCCATTTTCCTTGCAATGAGACTACTGCACACATGATAAGCTTGAAAAAGGTGTTAGTCTCAAAGTATCCAACTTGTAGAGTAACCCCCCTAAATTTGTGCACACAAGTGTGGAATACTTGTAGAAGACATGCACATTGATTTTAGAATCAATAATACCACTTGAAAGATGACATCACATGAATGTGAGAATCATTTTCAAAGATGGTATTCGGGAGAAATTATCTACAATTTGGACTTTGGCACATATTAGATGAACAAATGTAAGACATGCTATGTGTCGTGCTCCTAAACAATTTTAAACCATGTAGGTTTGCTCAAAGGGTTAAGAATTAAACCGAGCAAGCCTACCATAAGATATACCTAGTGTATGCATGACAAAAGATATAAGCATGCAAATGCAAACATAGGCATGAAAAGTAACTAGATGCTTAAAGATAGCAATTTGTAAGAAATACAACTTGTACGAAATGCAAATTGATACTACTTGAAGGAAATTGAATCTAGTTACCTAACTTGGGAAGGGAAATTTGGGTCTATAGTATTCACTAACCTACTTGGCAATGATTTTGTCCATCTTGATGCACCCCATGAAATGCACCCATTACTTTGCCAAGTCTCCAAATTCCCTAAAGTCCATTGGACTTCTCACTTCCCTTTCGGGATCCAAACCTTCTTGGTGCTCTTCATGTTGGAAATGAGTTCCTTTGGCACCCAAAAGCATTTGACCCCATTAATGGCTTGCTTGTTCACCTTGATGGCCACCACCTTGTCATTTTTCTTCTTCTTCAAGAGATAAGGTGTGGAGGCCTTCTTGTTGGTGTAGGTGTTGGAGAGCTTGCTTGTTTGCTTTTTGTTTTTCTCTTTCTTCTTTGCTCCTCCCCCATTCTTCATCTTGCACTCATAGGACTTGTGACCTTCCTTGTGGCACACGTAGAAAATCACGGTTTATCCTTCATCAAGCTTCTTCACTCCCTTGATGGTGTTATCTTGATAAAGTTGGGCTTGCTTTGCCTTCCCTTTCACTTGAGTCGAGTCCTTGGTGAGGCGAGCTACTTCTTGCTTAAGTTGCTCATTCTCCTTTGCAACCTCTTGTGTGCATGTATCTACAACAACTTTCTCAACACAAACTTCGTTACACAAGGATGAGTCTCGTACCATAAGGCACACTTGAGAA